TCCACACCAGCCTCTCCACTGCACCACCACGACCCTGCTGCATCATCAACGCTGGTTGTTGTATTTATACTCGGTTTCTATAATATAAATCAGTGTATTGTTAATGCTGCACTGGGGCGTAGCCCCAGTATATATATAGGGGCGAAGCCCCTATTACCGGAGCTCTAGCACTGCATACTGTGTCCGGTTACCGGAGCTCTAGACACTTCCTAATTATTATTATTAATTTATTATTTTATTTGTGGATATTATTATTTATATTACTTTAGGTTCCAGCTTTTGTGACGGAAAATGGTGACAATATCTACGAGAGCAATGCTATTGCGTATTACGGTAAGACTAAATTTAGGAGTTGAAATTATTGTTATATATTTTTTTATTTAGTATCGTCGTCAGCTCTTAGAGGTACTTCAGATTTAGATGCAGCACTAGTACAACAATATCTTTGTTTCGCCGAGAATGAGCTCCTCCCACCAATCTGTACTTGGGTGTTTCCAACATTTGGATACATGCCATTCAATAAAGAAGTTAGTCAATGCCTTTTTCTAAAATATTACTTGAAATAATTATTGTTTTTTTTTAATTGAAATGATTGAGTATTAAAAATTATGCGTATGTGTAAACAAGCATCATATTTAGCACAAAAAATCTACAAATTTTAATTGCTTTTTTGTATAATTATTTAATCATTTTTAGACTGCACGTGTTGCTCAAGAGGCTGTGAAGAGATTGCTTGGTGTATTGAACGATGTCCTTGCCACTAGGACATTCCTTGTTGGAGAAAGAGTGACATTAGCTGATATTGGAGTCTGTTGTACTCTTTTGATGCTTTATAAACAAGTGAGCCATTGATGAGATAGGATACCTGTGTATATTTTTTAAATACTTTGTTAGGTACTAGAGCCTCAATCTCGTAATTCGTTTGTTAATTTGAACCGCTGGTTTGTAACATGCATTAATCAGCCACAGTTCAAGAAGGTATTAGGGGACGTTACACTCTGCGAGAAAGCAGCCCAATTTGATGGTAAGTGGATCGGGCTACTGAGCTCAAGCCTTAAGTATTGATTTGTTTCTCTAGCTAAGAAGTATGCTGAGTTACACCCAAAGAAGGAGAAACCAGCCAAAGAGAAACAGCCACAGCAAGAGAAGAAGCAACAAGAAAAGAAGAAGCAGGAGAAGAAGCCAAAAGAGCCTGAGCCAGAGGAGGAGGAGGAAGAGGAGGCCCCTAAGCACGTCTTTGTTGACCCTTACCTCTCACTCCCAAAAAGGTAAGGTATCATCGGTTTTCATTTTTAGAGAAAACCATCAGCATTTGCTTTAACAAAATGTAATGAAAATTTGGGGTGATTTTGGAGCCAATTTTTGGAAAAAACCATGGGCTGTAGCCTTGGGTATTTTTCAAATGTTTGGAGTTTTTAAAAAATGGTCATAACTTGAAAAATATTTGTTGGAATCAGCTCAAACTTTCTACACAGCTTAAGTACATCAATACGCATCAGAAAATGTAATAAAAATTTGGTGTGATTTCTGAGCCAATTTTCGGAAAAAACCATGGGCTATAGCCTTGGGAATTTTTCAGAAATTCGGAGTTTTAAAAAAATGGTCATAACTTGGAAAATATTTGTCGGAATCAGCTCAAACTTTCTACACTGCTTAAGTACATCAATATGCATTAGAAAATGTAATAAAAATTAGGTGTGATTTCGGAGCCATTTTTCGCAAAAAACCATGGGCTATAGCCTTGGGTATTTTTCAGATTTTTGGCTAGTTTTTAAAAATGCCACAACTCGAAAAATATTTGTTGGAATCAGCTCAAACTTTCTACATAGCATAAGGACATCAATATGTGTCAGAAAATATAATCAAAATTGGGAGTTAACAATACATGTCATCTTTTTCTTTATCTAGTTCATTTGTTTTGGATGCATTTAAAAGAACATTCTGTAATGAAGACCCAGTCAAAAACACCATACCTTATCTATGGGAGAACTTTGATAAAGAAGGCTACAGTATCTGGAGATGCGATTACTTGTATCCGGAGGAACTCAAGATGACATTCATGGCTTCAAATCTAGTTGGTGGGTTCTTCCAGCGCATTGAGAAACTCCACAAGTACGGGTTTGCTGTCATTTATGTTCTTGGGGAGAACTACAAGCTGAACATTTCTGGCTTTTGGATCTTGCGTGGGCAGGAACTAGCATTTGATGTGAGTTCAT